CTGACCACCATAAAGCGACGCCAAGCCGCACAGACCACCATAAAGCGACGCCAAGCCGCACTGACCACCATAAAGCGACGGCAAGCCGCNCAAGCCGCACTGACCACCATAAAGCGACGGCAAGCCGCACTGACCACCATAAAGCGACGGCAAGCCGCACTGACCACCATAAAGCGACGGCAAGCCGCACTGACCACCATAAAGCGACGCCAAGCCGCACTGACCACCATAAAGCGACGCCAAGCCGCACTGACCACCATAAAGCGACGCCAAGCCGCACTGACCACCATAAAGCGGCCCATGCCGACCGCTATTAAGTGATGCTGAGTCACGGCAGTCGCCATAAAGTCAGTCCAAGCTGCCATAAAGCCTCGCCGAGCCACACGGGCTGCCGTGAAGCCCGGCCAGACTGCCACGTTGAGCCAGGCCCCGCCCACCTCCCACTCTACCCTCCTAGGATAATGGATTTAACGAGAACCTGGAGTAGGCGAAGTGCCTTTTGAAGGCAGCCCACCTTCCCTTTAAAAGTGGGCTGGGAAGAGACGCGTTAACGGCGACCTCTCATTATCCGCCGCGTCGTTGTTTTCCCCCTTTTTTTCCGTGCACCCCCACCCCCACCCACCTCACTGAAAACATAATTACGTTCCGACCCACTGGCTTCTTCGCTAAAAATAAAGGACGGACCTGGAGGCTGACTGCAGAGAGGCCCGGGACCAATAAATACACCCCCACAAACAGTGGTCGGGATCACACCGCTGGTTACCACCCCCCCACGGGCCATCAGTTAGCCGCTGCCGAGACAGACGTGGCAGTCCAGCGCGGAAAGCGAGGCCGATAAGGACGCCGCGGTCGATGGCTGTGGTCCCGGGGGTCCCACTCTAGACCTCTGGAAAGGTACTTAGCCCAAATCGCTCTAGTGTGACATGCAGCTTTTCAGTGGGTGGAACTGAGATGACCACATAACAATGTCACAATAAGGATGGAGGGAGGAGGAGAATGTGAAGGGGAAGGAGAGAGGAGAGCAGGTGGAGGAAGAGGAGGAGAGGGCTGACCTGCCGCCGTCCTCGCCGCCGCCGATGGCGACGAGCGCCTCTAGGTCGGTGCCCTTCAGGCCGTACTGCAGCAGCTCCCGGGCTGCGTCCACGTTCTCGGGCACCCGCTCCACACACTCGTGCAGCACCCAGGAGCGCTTCCGGATCTTGCTCTGCAGACGCGGATCGGGCCGGCTGGATAAGTGGCAGTGTGCGCACTGACGCTAATGCTAATGCTAACCCTGCGAGCATATTCACGCTGAAGGATGGTGGTGATGTCACCGGGCGCCACACAAACACACTTATGCTAGCAAAAAGCTCTACTAGATACACTCCTCGATGCAAACTAACCTAAGGCCTAACATAAGCCATTTTCTATCTTAAGGTGGCACTGACAGCCACTTAAACC